TAATAAATGCAAATCTTAAGAACCGCTCTTGGTTTTTGCCTCATATTTAGAGAACTGATTGAGCTGCATGGCTGTAGTTGACATTGCTGGATAGAGCACGAAATTGCAATCTTTGTACCAAATATTATTGTAGAATTATTTCTGGTTTTTACGCAAAATGCGAAAATTCCAAATAAATGCTGATTTTAAAACCCGCTCCTACCTTTTGTCTCATAGTTAGAGAACTGATTGAGCTAAAAAGCTCTAGTTGGCTTTGAGAAGTAGAGCATTAAAATGTACTCTTTTTCATACCAAAAGTCACTCTAAAATGGTTATAAATAAATAATAAAAATAAACGAAGATCTTTCGAACCGCTTTTGGCCTTTGCCTCATATTTACAGAACCGATTGAGCTGCAAAGCTGTAGTTGCCATCGCTGGATAGAGCACTAAATTGCACTCTTTTTCTACCAAATATTATTGTAGAATTATTTCTGGTTTTCAAGCAAAACGCGAAAATTCCAAATAAATGCCGATCTTAAGACCCGCTCTTGGTTTTTGCCACATATTTAGCGAACTGATTGAGCTACAAATCTCTGGTTGGCATTGAGGGATAGAGCATTAAATGACGCTCTTTTTCGTAGTAAACGTGATTAAAGAATTGTTTCGAGTTTTCCTGGAAAATGTGAAAATTCTAAATAAATGTGAATCTTAAAAACCGCTCTTGGTCTTTGCATCATATTTAGAGAACCGATTGAGCTGCAAGGTTCTAGTGGTCAGTGAATACTAGAACATTAAATCGGGCTCTTTTTTACGTCAAATGTTATCCAAGAAATCTTTTTTGTTTTCACGCAAAGTGCGAAAATTTCAAATAATTGCGGATCTTAAGAAACGCCCTTGGTTTTTGCCTCATATTTAAAGATCCGATTGAGCTGCAGAGCTCTCGTTGGCACAGGGTATTAGAGCATTAAATTGCCCTCTTTCTAATACCAAACAACATCCGAGAATAATTTCTGATTTTCACGCAAAATGGGAATATTCCAAATAAATGCGGGTCTTAAGAACTGGTCTTAGTCTTTCCTTCGTATTTAGAGAACCGACTGAGATGCAGAGCTCAAGTTGCATTTCAGAGATAGAACATTAAACCACTCTCTTTTTTTTCTAGTTTTCCCTCAAAATGCTGCAAAATGCTTATTTACATATACAAAATTTGAATCTGATTGGCTGTCGTTCTTCGTTTTGAATCCAAAACTTTATCGGCAGTTTTTTTAAGTTTGCAAGTGTTCAACAATCATATACATATATGATGTAGATGTATTCAGAATACAGAAGGGCATAGAATTGGTAGCGTCCAAAACACAAGGAAATCATTTTTAGATTGTATCATTAGTTTGTAACAATTTATTTATGATGTTCGCTTATGTTTTAGGTATATTTTTTGATCTGGCCTATTTTTCTTAAAATAACAGACAGTTTCTTGTGTAGAGAATGATATAAGTGTATATCATTCTCAAGAAACTATAAAAACCAAAGGACTCAAAATAAAATATACCATTATACATTTGAAAGGAAAAACCATAAAAAACGATTACCAAAAATTACCTACCAATAAATCTCATAAACTTATGTGAATTGAATTGTATCGTTAAGTACAATTGAAAAATTGTACTTAACGCTAATGACTATTTACGATAGTTAAAGAACTAGATAATAATATAATTGATTAATTTCAACATCTAGAGAATTTTGACTAGTCTTAAGGTTCGTACCATTCCAAAAATTAAGATGTTCTTCTAATAATTTTTAGCGTTTTTCAGCTGTTTATTTCCTTAATTTAGTTTTATGTCTTTCATCTGAATAAACGTTTGTGTGATGCTGAAGTACATTCATTTAAGTAATATGATTCTCTTAAGAACTATTCTCAAAATATAGCAAACTCAAACAAAAATTATTTATTAATTTATATTAATTTTTTTCCTCATAAGTTAATATTATAGAAATATGTTGGTTTCTTATTTGTTAAATAACTACATAAAAGAAGTTAACATTTATTTCTACCTTTGCGTGGTATATTTGAATCACCATACCTCTGAGTCATTCTGAGTTATTGTAGGTACTTATTTCCGCTAGCACAAATAATTTTTACGAGTATTTAAAAAATCTACAATAAAATCATGCATTCCATGAAAACTTAGTTTTCGTTGAAGTTAGATTTTAGACCGAAACGCATATTAAAAATTGTTTAACAGATAAACCTACTTTCTCTTAGTCTCTATCTAGAATTGGCTAAGTTTTATTTCAAACGCTCTTAAAAGTACATATTAAAGTAAAAAATGCAGGTTTCCTGTTTTCACTTCTAGGTACAAAAGCTCATCTGAGACGTTAAAACTGATAATATTTCGGAATCTGATAAAGATTTAAATGAAAATGTTCCTGCTTCTATATTAAAAGACTTTCTACTCTAGATTAATCAATAATGTGGTGCAGAAAATGTCGCCTGATAATAAACATACGGAAGCGGAACAGACCCAATGGACCGTTGAAGGTAAAAACTTTTTACAGTAAGACTGAGGACAGTGTTGCAGATAAAGAATCTGATGGAAATGTGTTGGGGATAAGAAAAATAGCAAAAATTAGCAACATTGTTCACACTAAGAATGATGCCAGAACAAGCAATGTGAGATAACTACTGAAATCGCAAGAAAGAATTTCAGATTTTCTTCCTTAAATGTTATATTTTTTTGCTAATATTATTCTATTGCTCCATTGGCAAAATCTGTTTTCGTGTTGTTTCCGTTTTAATAACAACTTATTAATACGTATTTTGTCAAATTTCTTATCTAGGGTCAGTGTAAACAATTTTGGGGAGATTATGTCTCCTTGGCGGGCACTTCGACTTACCGGGATTTTTTTCGTCTTAGTATTCTGCTCTATTTGGACGCAGAAGGTGGCATTTTGCTGCGAATACCTGGAGTATATTCTGGCATCATTCATTAATGAGAGGAAGGCCCATGTTTCTACAGAGTCGAAGGCCTTTCTGTAGTCTACAAACGCTAGGTGAAGTTGAATGTTAGGTTTATTTGATTTTTCAATGAGTAACTTTTTGAGTGTTTGGAGGTAATCCAAGGTACCTACTGTAACCTTTTCTAAAGCCAGCTTGCTCTACTGCTTGGTATTGGTCAAGCATTGATGTTACTCTGTTACGATTTTCAGTTTAGTTAAAAAGCCTGTTACTTACTTAAAAACGCGATTGGCTTGTCTTTCCAAAGCTGGGTGGCCGAACAGTGTCCTCAGAAACCATTAAAAATGCTGGAAAAACAAGTTGCTTGCGAAGTTAAAGTATTGTGCGATTGAGACTGTAAAAAGGAAGATCTACAAGGCAGAATACACAACAACGAAGTGTTAAAAATTATTATCAAAGTGGTGGAGGTTTTGCAGCCACAGTTCGCAAAATGCGGACAATTAAGGGCCATCGGAATGCTCCAACTGAAGCTACTGTGAGGAAATTAATGGAGAAATATTAGCAAACTGGATCTGTAAATGAAGTGATAACCGAAACACGCGTTCGTCCTGGTCGCTTGACTGAAAATATCGCAGAAGTACGTGCAAATGTTGAGGAAAGCCCAACCACATCAATTCGACATAGAGCTCAGGAAATTGGTATTTCCACAACCACTATGCATCGAATTTTAACAAAAGATTTGAAGCTTCATGCGTACAAAGTTGAATTGGCTCAAGAGCTAAAGCGAGAAGACCATGAGCAACGAAGAACCTTTATTGATTGAATTTTGCAACAACGACAATTGGACGGTGATTTTTCAACGAAAATAATCTTTAGTGACGAGACCCATTTTCATCTTGATGGCTTCGTTAATCGACCAAATTGTCGCATTTGGGGTTCCGAAAATCCACGAGTGATCGTGCAGAACAGATGCATCCAAAAAGAGTCACTGTTTGGTGTGCATTGTGGGCTGGAGGATCACCGGACAATTTTCTATTGAAAATGCAGTGAAATCTTAACTAATTTTTTGTGCCAGAATTGCAGTGATGGATCTCAACAACATGCGGTTTCAACAAGACAGTGCAACATGCCATACAGCCAGAGAAACTGTTGAATTGCTGCACGAGCCATTTCCTGGTCGTGTTATTTCTCGTTTTGGAGATCGGCATTGGCCGCCCAGATCATGCGATCTAACGCTTTTGGACTTTTTTCTTTGGGGTTTTTTAAAGTCTCAAGTTTTTGTGAACAAACCAACAACGATTGAAGCCTTAAAAGGTGAAATTCAACGATGTATCTCTGAAATACCGCAAAATATATGCGCAACAGTCCCTGAAAATGTCATGAAAAGAGCACGTCTTTTGTCGTCATTTGCCTGATGTCTTATTCGATTCATGACCTCATGATGTATACTTCATTTATCAATAAATTTTTCAAACATGCCACAAATATATATGTTTTATTTAAAATTTAAATTCGTCGTTCTTATTGGAGCTGGAACACCTTTTATAAGAGCTTCAAAAGGAAGTGACACTGTTTCCAACATGCTCAACACACTTCCATACAATTTTGTTAAATATTATGTCTTATTTAAACGCAAGTCTTATAACACTCTTGCTGCAAGACCATGCAAATCTTGCTTTGCGGCATGTCACAAGCTAATTAACAAAAAAAATGTATATACGTCATTGCTGTTCTCAAAAATCGAGCTCAAAATACCCATCAAGGTTTGATGGTATCTGCTAGATTTTCGGAAACAACTGATAAAAACGGGCAATTTTGAACATTCAAAGTGGCCGAAATAAATCAAACAAAGCCCATTGTGGACCGTCTGATAAAATCAGGTTTGCATTAAAATAGCGAAAATAGTATACAAGATTTTTTGCAATTCCAAGTTTCGACTAGTTTGACCAGGAATAAGCGTCACTCGAAAGCGATTCGCTGAAATCGACGTGAAGATATAGTGGGGATGTACAGGAATCCCGTGAAGGCCCGCCTGAAAAACCTGATTGCCAGCAAACGAAAATGATTGCCATCTCACTCACACTTAGTCATCGAGATCCCGACCGCGCTCCAGGCTTAGTACCTAGCGAATTTTAATATCATTCCGGTTTACAAGAGCGTACGCGAGACATTTGTATACAAAGTTTTGTGTAAATTGTGTACGATTTCCCGACCAGTGTTTGTATATAAGCCCCGTAAATATACAATATTGTGTATATACATACTGTTCCCAGTGTATGTGTATCAAATAAAGATCAGATTGTTTATAGTTTATATGATTCCGATGTAAATGTTTTGAAGAATGATGAAAGAACAGCAGTTGGTCGAAGTTGGCGGCGTCAGCCAGTCATCCGCAGTCGGTCTCAGTATCCAGCAACATCTAAGTCAGCTACAGCTCCACCATCCTAGTGTGATATCGCTGAACGAGTCAGCGGCCAGTTCGAGCCAGCAACAGAGCCACAGCGCCATCAGCAACAATGTGTCGCCCGAAAGTTCCGCATCTGGGGACCACGACCAGAAGCCCAGTTCATCGGACAAGAAAAGTGGCATCCGCAGACAGGAAAAGCCCCCGTACTCCTACATTGCGTTGATCGTAATGGCCATTCAGCATTCGCCCACCAAACGTCTCACTCTCAGCGAGATCTACTCATTTCTCCAACAACGGTTCCCGTTCTTCAGAGGCAGCTACCAAGGCTGGAAGAACTCGGTGCGCCACAATCTATCGCTGAACGAATGCTTCATCAAGTTGCCCAAAGGTCTTGGCCGGCCGGGAAAGGGTCACTATTGGACCATAGACCCAGCCAGTGAGTTTATGTTCGAAGAAGGCTCTTTCCGCAGACGACCAAGAGGTTTCCGGCGAAAATGTCAAGCAATGAAACCGCAGTATCCCCATCCAGGCAGCTTCTTCGCCAACAATATGACCTCAATGGTAAATCAGGCCACTGGCTACGATCATCAAGCGCTAGTGCAGTCGCAGGATTACTCCACCTGCTCCTACAACACGCCGTCGCCTCAAGTGTCTTCGGTTTCCGGGGGTCATTACGGCAATTATGACTATCCAGCGGTTTATCAGCAACAGTGCGACCGGGACTGGGGTTCGAACCATAGCATTCTGACCCCATACGGCGACAGTGCTATTTCCAGTAGCTATCTGAAGGCGCCTCTGAGTCCCATGCCGGAGAATCAGGAGACTCCACCTCCTACTGTGGATAACTACTACCAGTATGGCGTTATTTCCACCTCTACGGAGAACCGTAAGTTTTCAGTTGATTTATTTAAAAAATTACCACATTTGTCTGTATAGGTACCATGCTATAATAGGAGAGGAGAAATACATTTTTCCTCCAAAATTATCATCACTTAAAAAGTAGTTCATTATCTTTTTTCGGCCCACAGATTTTTGATTGTAATAATCGCTGAAGCTACTTCACATTGTAGTGAGTTAAGATTTAAGAAACAAAATGGACTTTTGGAAAATAGGTACATACTTAAAACAAGTTGCTAATGCTAATGAAATAAAAGTAACGAAGTAAATGTACATATTTTTTATATTTTGTTTAATGCTTGCTACATATTAGGTACTAAGTTAGGTTCATCTTTGCATTAACCCCAAAAAAATTATTTTGCTTTGATTTAGCTTTTTTATTCAAACATACAAACTTAAAAACTAGGTACACACTTAGCAACTCTTGAATTAACCCCTTAAGAAAAGAACAAAAAAATAAACAGCACTCTGTCTTAAATAATAACAAGCCCTTAATTTCGACACTGGAACCATTTTTTAAAAGTTATATTCAATTCTTTCTCCTTTTTTTACGTCTTTGCTTTGGAGCGTTCTGCTGTTCTGTTCAAAACATTTAAGTACTGTTTGTTTTTCTTCATAAATGTTATTTGGTGCAAAATCTTACATGTAGGTAGCTATAAACATTTTTTTCCTGTGTGAACATGTGTAAGAACTTTAACAAATTGTCTGTTTTTTTATTTATTGTGACAATTTTTTATTGCACATGTTATTATTTGACGTTTTCCAAACTCTCAGGTTTTAATGTTCCAACTTTTTGAACTTAAAAATCAGCAGACTCTCTTAGTTGAGAACTATGAAATTTTATTTTAAACCAGGTATCCTCAATGGTAGAAGTTGCAAGTTTATCCAACGTTGTGAGTTCAGTTTGAAAAACAGTTTTGAAACTTTGGAGGATTTAAGCTTCCATCAGGTCACTTTTAGCATCCAATTTTTGCAGATTGCTTAATGGAAAGAATGTCGCAGTTGTCTTGTGGTGAAGTTTTTTTGTGCCTATTTACAGTTCGAAACTCTTCAACAATTGGGCACAAGCCAAATTTATCAAAACATCTGTTTTTTTTATTTAGTTGGTATTCTAAAGCTGCTCAAAATCAGCGATGGTTTAAAAAATCAATAATAACCCAGATAATGGAAAACACCCGGAATGAAAAGATTCGGAAATGTTTTGCATCTAATGTAGGAAGGTCGCTTCTGCAAATAAAAACTTTTTTTTTCACAAGATTTTATAATTAATTTTGGCACACGTTTTATGCTCTTTTTTGGCTAACTTTTTATTATTAATGTTGCGATTTCGATTTTCGAACAAACAATAATACTCTAGAATACCCTCTACATTTCTCGAAAAACGGCAAACGTTGTCATTAGTCTTATCAGAAAATCTCATATTATATTCTCTGCTGATCTAAAATTGAAAATAACTCGAGCATTTTGCAGAATTTATCCAAAATAAGAGATTGTTAAAACTTCAATATTGGAAGTTTTACAGACTTAATTAGTATTTAATGGAATTCCATTTTCTAAGTATGTCGTGCGTAACAATCAAGGTTTCTAAAAATGTAGTGATTTTTCTAGTTTCACATTTTAATCAACATCAACACACTAGTTGAGGGCTTGTAATCATTTAAGCACGTAATAAATGTAGAAAAACGTTTCATCTGAATTATGAGATTTTTGTTTGTTTTGTTAATTTCGTTCCAAAAAAATAGTGAAAATTTGCATTGAAAATAAAAAGTTTTTGTTACTTAAATGCATTATAAGGCTTATGCACTGTAAGAGCCTGGCAAAATTTCACAAAAAAAACATTTTATTTAGTTTCAAAATGAACTCTTTTCTTCTTTATTTAGCTCTTATTTTAGCTTCATGATTTACCCGAAATTTTTGTATGTTGCAAAAGTTTTCAATTTCTGCTCAAGTCTATACAATAGACTTGAGCGCCCGTTAAAGTTTAATAAGGGAGAAAGTATCAACAAAACATTTTTTACGTACTACGATTTAGCCTTATTTGCATTTTTTTAAACGTCTCGTTTAATTTTCAAACAATGCAAATCACCGTTATTAGACTTGCAGAGAAAATACATAATAATAAAGGTCCAGAAGTCAATTTTGCTCTTGCTATTTGGAAGGTCGTTTTTAGAACCAAATATAAAGGAACGGCAGGAATGTTTTCCGTTGGTTTGGGTTTAAAATTGTTCAAAATTTAGCTTTGATTTTGCTTATTTCGTTTTTTCGTTTTTTGCGTTGGAATTGCCCTGTTGAAAGTTTTATACGTTGCTCAAATGGTCACTTTTGTAGTACTTAGAGTCTGAATGTTATAAAACCTTAAGAGTTCTTTTTTATTTGTGTTACTTTTGATTAAAGTTTGATAAAATGTTAATTATCTAACAAATTTATAGAAATATTGTTTGTTTTTCTTTTCGTTGTTGAATGTCGTGTTATGAATGTTTTTTTGTGGTAAAGTTGCATCAATGTCTGAAGTTTGCCTATTTTCCAAATTGTCACTTTCAATGCTCTAACTTTCGAAATTATAAAAAATAAGCACATTCTCAGATTTGATTGAAAGTTGCAGAAGCAAACTTCCTAAATTGCGGAAATCCACTTGCTTTAGTTTACACATATTTTTAACTTTGCCATTAATAATAGCCAAAATTTATAAATTGTTAATAGTCAATAAATACACAAATCAGCGTTTTTGCACCACAATAGCGTGGTTGAAAAACTTCACATATTGATAAAAAAATTAAACTCTGATGTATATTACTTAAATTCGCCTTTTGAGCAATGTTCAACAGCGTCAATCCTTTCATCGAACTTTCAATGAAATTTGCTGGTGTTTGTATCATCCTCTTTTTGGGTGTGATTCTCACTTTTCTTTAACTTATTTTAAGTTTGGTAAACGGGGTCCGAAAGTATTTCTTTGGCTTTAAGTAAGTATCAAGTTTTTTACTTCCCTACTTTAGGATCCAAGTTTCAATCCTGTTTTAACAGATTTATTTGAATATAGATTGACATTTTGTTGAATTTTGTCTTTCATTGGTTCATTTGCAAATTTTTCCCGATTTCGCTTAAAATATGTTCAGGGTTTAGTCTAAAAATTTGCGCGCTAATTTTATCGATGTGTATGATATTTTGGCTTGGGACTTTTGGTGTTCCTGCTTACGATCCAAATTKGGTCAGGATTTAGCTTGAATATTTTCCRAAACACTGGAGAATTATTTCCATTTTTTCCCGTATWGTTCCTTTGATAGTCTTAAYGTCTTAATTATTTTTTTKRATCRTRCTAAAATTTAATTTATTAAAACGAAATACTTTTCTTAAAACTCTTCCTTTTTCACCAAAATTTGGACGTTYATAGTAGAATAATGTCGATTTTGGARCATTMAGATGAGAACATCSAAAACCTCTGACGTCTTCAAAACAGAGTAGGGCTTTGCCCTTCAATACCACCCCAAATTGATTTTATCGGACAAAACCCCAATCAAGATCTAGAACTGTTTTTACAATAAAAACATTGAGAATCGGGTATACAAACGCCTATGAATAGTCGAGCTTCGCCCCTTCAAGGTCTTCAGAAAACGGATAAAAATAAACTGACTAGAAGTAGGTAGTTAAAAAATAGACAGACCTGTTTTGTTGATGGTTTCCGGCATATTTCAGAGGAATCAATTTCATTTCTATAACATTTAAATGATCGTAAATTTTTTATTTCCAAATGCTCTTAATATATTCAATTTCTGTACATAGTTTTATTTTGTGCTTACTAATTTAATTTTTATAATGCATTTTTCTTAAAGTGAATTATTTGTTTATGCTTTTGAAAACAACCAAAATGTTTGCTCCGAATTTTCCTACCAAAGACCCAATTTAATTTTCCTATTAGTTGGAATCGAAATGTTTGAAAATCTGCTCGTTAATCGTAGTAGAGTAGTATTCCAGAATGTGAAATATTTTCGTTGATTTATACGAGTATTATCCAGGGAAATAAAAAAGCTCAAATCCATTTAGCTGAGCTTCTAGTTTAAAATAGATCGAATAATTCAGTTTATTGAAAATAAATACCGTCTCAGTTACCTCATGCAAATGGTAAACTTTTGACAATTTTTTTTTTAAGTATTTTTCAGTTTGTCCTGAGATACAGAAAAGTTAAACTTAGGAGATAAAAGCACTGATTTGCATTTTTATGCCTAACTTCCGCTCATCATTGTTCTCCAGATTGTGTGATTTTTCTACCCTTCTTTAAGCCATATGTCGCGCCATATATAAAAAGGCTGCACTGGCGTCATCGACTACTCAAATCTCCAGCCTCCAAATGCCATAAAACAACACAAACAAACATCGAACTGGCTTTTATCACATTTTTGACCTGATATAAAACCCTGTCGTTCATGCTGGGATAAAATTGATTTTCGTTAAATGTGTTTTTTTAACAAATTGTTACATTTTATGCTTGGTCAAGACGGTTTTTTAAAATGGTTTTGCAGGCACGGGGAAATTTTTGCTATTTAATTAAGCTTAGTTTGAGGTTTAGAGATTTTGCAGGCAATAGTCCAAGATGTCTAAAAGGTTTCTGAGAAGTCTGAATATAAATTGCAAAGTTTTAAAAAATACGGGCTGTACTATTCAAATTGTAGTTTCCGAACGAAATTATGTTACTTTGATCGAGGAATGTTCGAATTCCTAGTCTGATTTATAGTTCAAATGACCTTTAGAGTGGCAGCAGATTAAGCGGTGAAAGGATGGAATGTTGACTTTTTGCCCATTCCTGCTATGAATTGAAGTAAAAATAAATCAGCAGCAACAAAAGAAAAGAAAAAACAAACAGATGTAAACGATTCTAAATGGCTAAATTTCTCTGAGGGGATTTTTTAAATAATTTGATTTTTCAATGTGAACGGAACCCGGAAAATAGTAGCGATATCCAGTCAGTTTTAAAACTCTCTAATTTTACTTATTGTATTGGCGCAAAAACAAATTTAAGTTTCTTATTGAGTTGAAAATCGTTAATAAAAAATGTTCTTTAAAATATTAGTTTTCTGCAAGTATAACATGAAATATACACATTGCGCCACAAACTTTTGTCTGTGAATATTTTCTCAGTCGGTGGTCCGATTTGAATAATATTTCTCCTGAATCATAGCTACATTTTTGGAAAAATTTGAGTCATAAAATATGCAAAAAAATGAAATAGACGTATTATACAGGGTGTTTAAATGCTGTAATGTTTTTATGGTCCAAATTTAAATATTTCTATTGGTAATATTGCAACCGCGAATATTTTTATGTCTGAGCCACCCGATAGTGCCCGCACGGATTTGAACTTTCACCAAGAAAACAAGACACTATTTAAACACCCTGTACGATACGTTTATACAGTTTTTTGGTTATCTTGCAACTGACATTTTCACCAAAAATAGAGCGATGATTCGATAAAAAACTTTGTTTATATCGGATTCCCGATTAAGAAAATATTCGCAGTCAAAAGTTAGTGAACATGTAAGTTATGCGTTACATTTGGGTCACGGGATGAACATATTTTATATCAACTTCCTGACTTGCATTTTATGCATCTTAACAAATTTTGATATTCCCAATGTCAAATTTCGATTATTAATTTAATTTTTTCTCCATTTCAGTTCGTTTCAACTTGCTGATTTAATTCAAATCAAGTTTTAATCGTTTGTTTTGACTTGGTGCTAAACTCAGTTTATCTCATTTGCGGCCGGAGTTAATTTACATGGATATCACTGTTATTTCATTATCTATTATCTGTTTCTTATACAATTTGACTTCAGAATCGGATATTTAATTCGGTACCGAGTAATCACGGTTTTGGCTCAATTTGTACCGTAGATATGGGCAAAATGGTGGCGTCCTGGTTGAAACAATGTGCGTATCTTCTACTTAATTGCGTAATACTTAAATTAATAAGTCAATTCAACTTCCATGACCAAATTTACCCTGACTTTGGAGCCGATTTTGCTTCGGTTTGAAGCGTTATTTAGTCCAATTCTTTCTCTGTCGATTGGTGTTTTTGAACCACTTCGAAGACAGTATCTACCGGGTCGACAACAAAACAACATACTTTTTGAAAGTTTGCCAAAAAAGCGTATATTTTTTGACTATTTATTGATCGAGGAATGTTCCAATTTCTGGTCTGATTTATAGTTCAAATGACCTTTAGAGTGGCCGCAGATTAAATGATCAAAGAGTGGAATGTTGACTTCAAACGATTTTTTCCATTCCTGCTGTGAATTGAAGCAAAAAAATCAGAAGAGCTGTTTGCAATATTTTTTACCTTAATTTACAAAAAGTAAATACAAGACTAAAGAGAAACAAACAGCTAGACAGGCTTCTGAATTGTCCAATTTCTGTAAGTGGATTTTTTAAATAATTTGATTTTTCAATGAGAATCGATCCTCAAAAGGATCATTTTCATTGAAATCGCGCTTGAAATTCTCGTGTTTCAATTCCACATATCCGATATTGTTGTCGTGATGCCCAAAAAACAAATTTAAGAGTTAATTTTACTTTTAAAGCAGCTATGTGTATACGTTAGATTAAGTTAAATAAGTGAAATTCTATATATTATTTCCCTAATTTAAACCAATACAGACAGATTAGTATATTAAGGAGAGAGTAACTAATAATTAATTTACGGATTTTTACTTACCCTGCTGTTTTGACACCCTTAAATTCGGCTGAATTAAAAAGTTCGCCGTTTTTTTAAATTCGGTAACCATAAAAATATGTACACACGGTAAACTGTTTGTTGACGCGTTAAGGAATATTTCTGAAGCCATTTTTTAGTTTAACACAAACTATAAATTATTTAAACC